TGCATGCCGTCGTGATTTTGTTGTCGGGGTTGCACAGCTTTGCTTTCAGCTCTGAGGTTCAAACACCTAATTTATTTATTTTATTCAGCAGTAGACGTGGCAGTGACCGTCTGCAGCTTGGAGCGCCACTCCACGGGTCCACCAGCGAGGTAGACAATGCAGCCTTCACGATACTTACGACCAGTTTCTTGAGCAAAGCTCGCATCAGTGTAGGTCGTGAGGCGAAGGTGCTGGCCAGACCGATAAGTCAGACCAAGGTCCTTCGTGCCCTTGACATAGCGGAGCAGGTGCTTGGCAGCGTTCCAATGCTCTACGGTGTAGCAGCTGGCAAAGGAGCCCAGCATGCTGACAGCGGTGGCAATGTCAGGGCGAGTGTGAGTCATGAGGTAAATCAGTTTGCCCAAGAGCTCACGGTAAGGGATCGACGGGTCAATGTCGGTACTCCCCTTGTCGAGGCAAATGCCTGGACTCAATGGCATCGGCGCGGGCTTGGCATCGGTCATGTGAAAGGTAATAATAAATTAGGTGTTTGAACCTCAGAGCTGAACCTCAGAGCCGAAAGCAAAGCTGTGCAACCCCGACATCAAAATCACGACGGCACGCAAAACAACACAAGAGAACAAGACATTTTCATCGGCTCCTATCATGCCGAGGAGTACAAGCGCGAAGAATCACGCACATAGAAACAAAAATCGTACAAAACGACCAGGTATAACCAGAGATACGGCCATTCCAAACACTAGACACCCAAAAAGGGAGTCACACATATCACAACTACAAGCCATCACAGCACAAACACAATGAACACCACGGCACGCTCACATCCAACGAGACACAACGTCGGATTGAGGAAAACAACCGGCCACAGAAGACAAAGACATCATACAAAGGACCTTACAAAAATTCAGCAAACTTACCACAAAATACAGCAAAAATTAAAGCAAAATTACAACAAAAATACAAGTCAAGCCATCAAAAGACCACAACGAGGAACCACCTAGGGAGTGACGGGTGCACACAGGGATCCCCACAGAGGGACCCCCGAGGCGGTGCCTACCTACGACGAGCGCAGGCAGACACCGCCAAAGTGGCGCTGGATGTGGTCAGCGTTCATCTGATGGACCAGCGCCGCAAAGCGACCCTTCCATCGAGGAACAAAGGCCTCATCCAGCCCCGGCTGGTACACACCACGGGCCTCGGCGCAGCGGGCGAGCTGACCAAGCAGATCCACAAAGGAGGAGGCGAACCCACCGGTTGTCGTCATCGCCGCAGGGACGATCAGAGTTTTTCCATGGTTGAAACCGGTGTAGTAGTCGCGCTTCTCCTTTTCGGCTCGGCGAAGGGCAGCGCCCACCTTGATGCAGGCTTGCGAGGTGGTCGGGGGTTGGGCTGTGCGCACAGTCACGTCAATGCCCAGGTTGGGCAGAGCTGGGCCCAGAGCACCGCCGGGAAAGGGGTTGCGGCAGTGCAGGTCGATGCGGCAGCTCTGACCGTTGGCGTTGTAGCCAGACTTTTCCACCCAGACATGGGAGAGGGTGGCGTACCTGAGCAGGCGGCCCATCTCGTCGCGAAGGGCGTTGTGACGCTTGATGGGACGGCAGGTCAACAGGTGCTCGCGGGTCAGTCGCGGCTGAGGTGTCTTGCTGCTGCAGAGCGGGCACTTGTCCGTCGGCTTGACGTTGATGAGTTCATGGAGGCCAAAACCCATCATGGACACGACCGCAATGGCAAAGGTCGTGTCGCTCAAGCGACGCAACTTGTCTCGCCCGC